AAGGAGCCCTGCAACTCCATTGGGCTTATTTGGATAATACAAATAATAATATCTTAGCAGCTTTAATTTTATCAAGTATTTTTTGTCATGCAAGGTAATACTTCAAGCCTCTGCTTGTTGAGAATGTGGGACAAAAATTCAGCCCAGAACATGGTTGCTTGTGTTCTAAAATTAGTTGTTCTTTGTTTAATGTTTGCTGTCTACAGACAAGTGATTTTACTTTCCTTAATCCAAAAAGATACCGTCCACTCAAAAGCCTATTCAAAAAATACACTCCTAAAATGCTTCTTTAGTTTTGATTACATAGGTTTAACTTGTTAAATTTAATTTCTACTATGTATCTGGAACTTGAATTTTTGCTAAAAAGGAGACAGCTATGTGAGAATTTTAAAAACATTGCTACTTTGGCACTTATTGTTATGGGCAACAAATTGTTTTTTGTTTCTGATCATCTCTTCTACCAATACCCATGAAACTACCAGTTTAACGTGTTAGCTTGCAAGTAGGGTACAATCACAGGCTCTTCAAAGAACTTGATATTGGGTATTGTAAATAATTCCAAAAATTTATGGAGTTTAGTATGAAAATTTGCACATGCATACAGTGTGAAATGAACAATTCAGGGTAATTAGCATTTCCTCAAATGTATATGCCCCTTCTATGTATTGGAAGTCTTGAACTGTTTTAGTTATTTTGAAATATATGATAACTCTTAGAGCTGTAGAACAAACACTAGCACTAATTCCTACTATGTTGGGAGCTGCTGAACCTGGAAATTGATCATATGTAAGAGGGCAGGATGATACCTCATTGCCTAAAGTAGTCAAGCTACAAGAAAAACATCCTACTTGGACTTTGTGAGCTATTAGTGTGGCTAGGCAACCTTAGATCTTGCAACTTTGTAAAGGTATAGTAAAGGCCCCTACTATTGTTGCAGGGGAGGGGACAACTTTGCCTACCAACTTTGGTCAACCCCCTGACTTCAGCTCTTATCTCTTATCTTTATTTTCTGAATCCTCTTGCCATTTTCTCCAGGCACTACCGAAAGACCAACAGATCCCTAAACTACTTCATTAAGTGTATTTTAATACCAATTGTCCTACATTATTCTATCCCTCTTCCTTTTTACCTTTCTTAACCTTCTAGTGGCCACTGTTCTATTCTACTTGTGCAAGATAGATCTACTTCTACTGTAGCTTTCACACTTAGGCTTCATGTATTTCACTTAACATAATATCTTCTCGTTTCATTCAAGTTGCCACATATGAGAAGATTTAATCCTTTGTGCTGCATAACATGCTATTATGTTTATATGCCATATTTCCTTTGTCCATCTGTAGGTGGACACTTTGGGCAATGCAGTATCTTGGCAGTTGTGAATAGTGCTATAGTAAGCATATGTTCAGGTGTCTCTTCAACATAATGGTTTAATTTCCTTTGGCTATATCCAGTTTAATGGGATTACTGGATCTTTCAGTATCGTAGTTGTCTTTGAAGTTGCTTAAGGAATCTCTATACTTTGTTCACTACTAGCTATAGTAATTTATATTCCAAGCAAATGTTATATAAGATTTCTCTCTGCACCTCACCAGTATTTATTTTGTTGTGGTTTTGATTTGGAGTCCTAGCCCAGGTCCGGTGAGTGTGTGGAGAGCTTCCTGCTACCCTGCGCTGGCGGGATCAGTCCCAGCCCAGGCGCAGCTGGGCTGGACCCTCTCCCACCCCCTCAGGCCGCCCCCCACCACTCCGCCG